ACTCGGGCCAAGGTACTCGTCTGTTGAGGTCCGACTCCCAGTGGCCAGGCATCCCTCCCACATGGAAGGGGGCAGGGGACAGGGACCCGCCATGCCGTCGCGTTGCCCCCGCTTCCTGGCCGGGGCCACACCCACGGTGCCGGGAGGGGCCAGGCCGGAGGGGCCACCTCGGAGGTCAGACGTCGGAGCTGTGCGGCCGGACACCAGGCTCGTCGTGACTCAAGTGGACACGAGCTCGGTGACCAGCCTTTCGGATTTCCGGGGCTCGGTCTTCGCCTGGTTTACTTTAACGTCAGTTCATCCGGTCTTTCCCCGAAGGGTTAAGGCAGCTGTTGGCAGCTCTTTTCCTGCTTCTGCTGCTTCTCCACGTGAGCACACCCTAAGCCTTCCTTCACCCTGAGCCCCTGCTTCCTAAGGGCGATGCCGTCAGTGTCAGTCAGCATCAGGCTGGTGGGACGTGGCTGCGAGGCCTCCTCCCCTGACGGCCCGTCCCGTTCTCCTCTCGCCACTGCAAGTCGAAGGCTGTACCCCGTGTTTCTGCAGGGCCTCTGGTTTCATCAGTTTCAGGGGACGCTGGAGTCGTAGCCTCACTGGTCGTTCAGCTCTGTGTGCTGTGTGCTGTGGGTATTGTGTGTGCCGGTGCTGTGTGGGCTGGGTGTGCTGTGTGTATCGTGTGTGCCGTGTGCCGTGTGCTGGGTGTGCCGTGTGCTGGGTGTGCCGTGTGCTGGGTGTGCCGTGTGCTGGGTGTGCCGTGTGCTGGGTGTGCCGTGTGCTGGGTGTGCCGTGTGCTGGGTGTGCCGTGTGCTGGGTGTGCCGTGTGCTGGGTGTGCCGTGTGCTGGGTGTGCCGTGTGCTGGGTGTGCCGTGTGCTGGGTGTGCCGTGTGCTGGGTGTGCCGTGTGCTGGGTGTGCCGTGTGCTGGGTGTGCCGTGTGCTGGGTGTGCCGTGTGCTGGGTGTGCCGTGTGCTGGGTGTGCCGTGTGCTGGGTGTGCCGTGTGCTGGGTGTGCCGTGTGCTGGGTGTGCCGTGTGCTGGGTGTGCCGTGTGCTGGGTGTGCCGTGTGCTGGGTGTGCCGTGTGCTGGGTGTGCCGTGTGCTGGGTGTGCCGTGTGCTGGGTGTGCCGTGTGCTGGGTGTGCCGTGTGCTGGGTGTGCCGTGTGCTGGGTGTGCCGTGTGCTGGGTGTGCCGTGTGCTGGGTGTGCCGTGTGCTGGGTGTGCCGTGTGCTGGGTGTGCCGTGTGCTGGGTGTGCCGTGTGCTGGGTGTGCCGTGTGCTGGGTGTGCCGTGTGCTGGGTGTGCCGTGTGCTGGGTGTGCCGTGTGCTGGGTGTGCCGTGTGCTGGGTGTGCCGTGTGCTGGGTGTGCCGTGTGCTGGGTGTGCCGTGTGCTGGGTGTGCCGTGTGCTGGGTGTGCCGTGTGCTGGGTGTGCCGTGTGCTGGGTGTGCCGTGTGCTGGGTGTGCCGTGTGCTGGGTGTGCCGTGTGCTGGGTGTGCCGTGTGCTGGGTGTGCCGTGTGCTGGGTGTGCCGTGTGCTGGGTGTGCCGTGTGCTGGGTGTGCCGTGTGCTGGGTGTGCCGTGTGCTGGGTGTGCCGTGTGCTGGGTGTGCCGTGTGCTGGGTGTGCCGTGTGCTGGGTGTGCCGTGTGCTGGGTGTGCCGTGTGCTGGGTGTGCCGTGTGCTGGGTGTGCCGTGTGCTGGGTGTGCCGTGTGCTGGGTGTGCCGTGTGCTGGGTGTGCCGTGTGCTGGGTGTGCCGTGTGCTGGGTGTGCCGTGTGCTGGGTGTGCCGTGTGCTGGGTGTGCCGTGTGCTGGGTGTGCCGTGTGCTGGGTGTGCCGTGTGCTGGGTGTGCCGTGTGCTGGGTGTGCCGTGTGCTGGGTGTGCCGTGTGCTGGGTGTGCCGTGTGCTGGGTGTGCCGTGTGCTGGGTGTGCCGTGTGCTGGGTGTGCCGTGTGCTGGGTGTGCCGTGTGCTGGGTGTGCCGTGTGCTGGGTGTGCCGTGTGCTGGGTGTGCCGTGTGCTGGGTGTGCCGTGTGCTGGGTGTGCCGTGTGCTGGGTGTGCCGTGTGCTGGGTGTGCCGTGTGCTGGGTGTGCCGTGTGCTGGGTGTGCCGTGTGCTGGGTGTGCCGTGTGCTGGGTGTGCCGTGTGCTGGGTGTGCCGTGTGCTGGGTGTGCCGTGTGCTGGGTGTGCCGTGTGCTGGGTGTGCCGTGTGCTGGGTGTGCCGTGTGCTGGGTGTGCCGTGTGCTGGGTGTGCCGTGTGCTGGGTGTGCCGTGTGCTGGGTGTGCCGTGTGCTGGGTGTGCCGTGTGCTGGGTGTGCCGTGTGCTGGGTGTGCCGTGTGCTGGGTGTGCCGTGTGCTGGGTGTGCCGTGTGCTGGGTGTGCCGTGTGCTGGGTGTGCCGTGTGCTGGGTGTGCCGTGTGCTGGGTGTGCCGTGTGCTGGGTGTGCCGTGTGCTGGGTGTGCCGTGTGCTGGGTGTGCCGTGTGCTGGGTGTGCCGTGTGCTGGGTGTGCCGTGTGCTGGGTGTGCCGTGTGCTGGGTGTGCCGTGTGCTGGGTGTGCCGTGTGCTGGGTGTGCCGTGTGCTGGGTGTGCCGTGTGCTGGGTGTGCCGTGTGCTGGGTGTGCCGTGTGCTGGGTGTGCCGTGTGCTGGGTGTGCCGTGTGCTGGGTGTGCCGTGTGCTGGGTGTGCCGTGTGCTGGGTGTGCCGTGTGCTGGGTGTGCCGTGTGCTGGGTGTGCCGTGTGCTGGGTGTGCCGTGTGCTGGGTGTGCCGTGTGCTGGGTGTGCCGTGTGCTGGGTGTGCCGTGTGCTGGGTGTGCCGTGTGCTGGGTGTGCCGTGTGCTGGGTGTGCCGTGTGCTGGGTGTGCCGTGTGCTGGGTGTGCCGTGTGCTGGGTGTGCCGTGTGCTGGGTGTGCCGTGTGCTGGGTGTGCCGTGTGCTGGGTGTGCCGTGTGCTGGGTGTGCCGTGTGCTGGGTGTGCCGTGTGCTGGGTGTGCCGTGTGCTGGGTGTGCCGTGTGCTGGGTGTGCCGTGTGCTGGGTGTGCCGTGTGCTGGGTGTGCCGTGTGCTGGGTGTGCCGTGTGCTGGGTGTGCCGTGTGCTGGGTGTGCCGTGTGCTGGGTGTGCCGTGTGCTGGGTGTGCCGTGTGCTGGGTGTGCCGTGTGCTGGGTGTGCCGTGTGCTGGGTGTGCCGTGTGCTGGGTGTGCCGTGTGCTGGGTGTGCCGTGTGCTGGGTGTGCCGTGTGCTGGGTGTGCCGTGTGCTGGGTGTGCCGTGTGCTGGGTGTGCCGTGTGCTGGGTGTGCCGTGTGCTGGGTGTGCCGTGTGCTGGGTGTGCCGTGTGCTGGGTGTGCCGTGTGCTGGGTGTGCCGTGTGCTGGGTGTGCCGTGTGCTGGGTGTGCCGTGTGCTGGGTGTGCCGTGTGCTGGGTGTGCCGTGTGCTGGGTGTGCCGTGTGCTGGGTGTGCCGTGTGCTGGGTGTGCCGTGTGCTGGGTGTGCCGTGTGCTGGGTGTGCCGTGTGCTGGGTGTGCCGTGTGCTGGGTGTGCCGTGTGCTGGGTGTGCCGTGTGCTGGGTGTGCCGTGTGCTGGGTGTGCCGTGTGCTGGGTGTGCCGTGTGCTGGGTGTGCCGTGTGCTGGGTGTGCCGTGTGCTGGGTGTGCCGTGTGCTGGGTGTGCCGTGTGCTGGGTGTGCCGTGTGCTGGGTGTGCCGTGTGCTGGGTGTGCCGTGTGCTGGGTGTGCCGTGTGCTGGGTGTGCCGTGTGCTGGGTGTGCCGTGTGCTGGGTGTGCCGTGTGCTGGGTGTGCCGTGTGCTGGGTGTGCCGTGTGCTGGGTGTGCCGTGTGCTGGGTGTGCCGTGTGCTGGGTGTGCCGTGTGCTGGGTGTGCCGTGTGCTGGGTGTGCCGTGTGCTGGGTGTGCCGTGTGCTGGGTGTGCCGTGTGCTGGGTGTGCCGTGTGCTGGGTGTGCCGTGTGCTGGGTGTGCCGTGTGCTGGGTGTGCCGTGTGCTGGGTGTGCCGTGTGCTGGGTGTGCCGTGTGCTGGGTGTGCCGTGTGCTGGGTGTGCCGTGTGCTGGGTGTGCCGTGTGCTGGGTGTGCCGTGTGCTGGGTGTGCCGTGTGCTGGGTGTGCCGTGTGCTGGGTGTGCCGTGTGCTGGGTGTGCCGTGTGCTGGGTGTGCCGTGTGCTGGGTGTGCCGTGTGCTGGGTGTGCCGTGTGCTGGGTGTGCCGTGTGCTGGGTGTGCCGTGTGCTGGGTGTGCCGTGTGCTGGGTGTGCCGTGTGCTGGGTGTGCCGTGTGCTGGGTGTGCCGTGTGCTGGGTGTGCCGTGTGCTGGGTGTGCCGTGTGCTGGGTGTGCCGTGTGCTGGGTGTGCCGTGTGCTGGGTGTGCCGTGTGCTGGGTGTGCCGTGTGCTGGGTGTGCCGTGTGCTGGGTGTGCCGTGTGCTGGGTGTGCCGTGTGCTGGGTGTGCCGTGTGCTGGGTGTGCCGTGTGCTGGGTGTGCCGTGTGCTGGGTGTGCCGTGTGCTGGGTGTGCCGTGTGCTGGGTGTGCCGTGTGCTGGGTGTGCCGTGTGCTGGGTGTGCCGTGTGCTGGGTGTGCCGTGTGCTGGGTGTGCCGTGTGCTGGGTGTGCCGTGTGCTGGGTGTGCCGTGTGCTGGGTGTGCCGTGTGCTGGGTGTGCCGTGTGCTGGGTGTGCCGTGTGCTGGGTGTGCCGTGTGCTGGGTGTGCCGTGTGCTGGGTGTGCCGTGTGCTGGGTGTGCCGTGTGCTGGGTGTGCCGTGTGCTGGGTGTGCCGTGTGCTGGGTGTGCCGTGTGCTGGGTGTGCCGTGTGCTGGGTGTGCCGTGTGCTGGGTGTGCCGTGTGCTGGGTGTGCCGTGTGCTGGGTGTGCCGTGTGCTGGGTGTGCCGTGTGCTGGGTGTGCCGTGTGCTGGGTGTGCCGTGTGCTGGGTGTGCCGTGTGCTGGGTGTGCCGTGTGCTGGGTGTGCCGTGTGCTGGGTGTGCCGTGTGCTGGGTGTGCCGTGTGCTGTGTGTGCCATGTGTGCCATGTGTACTGTGTATGCTGGGTGCTGTATGTGCTGTGTGTGCCATGTGTACTGTGTATGCTTGGTGCTGTGTGTGCTGTGTACTGTGTATGCTGGGTGCTGTATGTGCTGTGTGTGCCATGTGTACTGGGTATGCTTGGTGCTGTGTGTGCTGTGTACTGTGTATGCTGGGTGCTGTGTGTGCTATGTGCTGTGTGTGCCATGTGCTGTGTGTGCTGTGTACTGTGTATGCCGGGTCCTGTGTGTGCCGTGTGCTATGTGTGCCATGTGCTGTGTATGCTGGGTGCTGTGTGTGCTGTGTACTGTGTATGCTGGGTGCTGTGTGTGCTGTGTACTGTGTATGCTGTGTTT